ATAGTCGCGATGCATCCTACGCGCACCTATTCGCCGTTTTAAAACAGTGCGCGTAGGATGCATCGCGGCTAGCATCCTGGCGAGCAGCGCGGCCAGCATCTTGGTGAGCATCGCATCGAGATTCCTCACTATGTTTGCGCCCTAAGAGTGATTGTGTGGTATGTATGGCCCAATGTATTAGTCGAGTAAAAACGATATGAAAATGTGTCAAAATATTTGTTGGAGGTATAACTACATCATATCTATACAGGATTATCAGTTAGGGCATTGTGCATGTGAATTGACTAATTACGACCTTTTTGGGGTGGTCAGAAATTTTTTATCTCAGAAAATGTCAAAAATCTGTCAAAAATTTATAACCATGTTTTTTTACCTTTCCTACGCGATAACTCCTAAACTAATCCACTTATTCTCATACTCTTTTTTAATCGATTGAGAACATATAGGCGGTTATAGCTTCTTTTGGAAAATGGATTAAACTTCAAATATTACCAAACCAAACTTGGTATAATCTTCTATTGCTAATACTTTTCTAGTTATCCTAAATTAAATTTACGAATAGGCCGCGCGCTAGACCGCTCGGGCCTCGCCGCCCCGAGACTTCGATTTTATTTGGTGGCACGGCGAACGCGAAGTTCCATAAGCCTATTTCTGATTATGTGCATTGTACCTGCAGTTTGAAATTTAGTAAATTCTGTACGTTATAAATTATTTAGTTATGGACTGTTTAATTTGCGGAAAAACTATTAACGAAAATGATAAGTTTTTTATTAAATCCTACTATACGAAACCTAAAAACTATCATAAATGCTGCGGAAAAAAGGCAAGATGATGTTGCTGTTGCTTAATTAATAATTGTTAATATATTATATTGACAATTATTCATATATTATATTAATAAAAAGAAAACTAGTTAAATATGAGATTCTGATATTATAATAATGTGTTTGATATGTGATAAAATAGGAAAAAAGAGCAAAAATCACAAATTAACATCTAGACAAACAGGTATCTTATGTTGTAAACTATGTTCATAAGTTTTTTTAATTAATTAATTGATATGATTAATTAATAAAATTGATATGTTCTCTAAAAATCCATAGTCAGTATTTCTTCTGCCAATAGGGCTGAATAATTTCTCATAAACCAGAATAATATTAATTATTTTTATTTACCGTAAATCTTTTAATACGTGAGACACAAAAAATGTAGTTCAAAAAAATTATTGAATTAATAAAAAATCAAATATGTATGTATTTATTAAAGTTTATAACCGTTTATGACCATCAAAAATCGTAGATTTCTATTATTATTTATTAAAGTTTATTTTTATTAAGACCGACTCTGACAACTCGTGTACTTGTACAAACAGAATTTGTTATTGGGATATACCTGCCATGTAATGTAAGTGGTTTCCTTGTGCAATTATTTGTCGCTCGCCACGTAGCTTGAGCGCCAAGCTTGTTGCAAAAAATGTTTACAAAGATAGTATACTTGCCAAGTACGCAAATATTGGCGTACTTGCCAAGTATACGAGTCGTCAGAATCCGCCTTTATATGTAGGTACGCAAAGATTTCTGGATATGACGATTTATTTGCATATGATGCTAAATACCACAACGTTTGTTTATATAATCCCAAACAAATCAAGGCTAAATTAACGACATTTTTAATTAAGAAAGCATACTATATATTGGATGAATTTTTCACTGACAGATAAGTATTTTTATAATATCTCTTCCCGCTTTTATTGTTTGTGAAAAAAATGTTGTGCTGTTTTCTTGTGTGCTTTTTTTAAATAGGTAATTATAGTTTTTGTGTTATAGATAGCAATAATTCATTCAAATATATTTCACATCATGTGAAATATGTTGCTATTAAATACATGTGAATCACATATATTTTAATTTCTAATTCTACGTTAAAATTACTTTTAGTAAATTTTTTGCATTTTAATTGAAAGTATATTTATTTTTAGTAAATATTTATTTAATATACATACACATATATGTATATCTTTTTGTTCAACTGTAGTCATATAATTAAGTATTATTAGTTTTTAGGCTTAAGTTAATTTAGTTTTAACAATGTTCCATGCTTATTAGGATTTGTAACAACACTTTGTTATAGTTAGAGATCAAATAAATCTAATCTAGCCCAACATCCTTCATTAAAATCTATAACGTTGGATAGAAAAGAATCTAAAAATAAGATTCGAAGAAGAGAAAAATCTAAAAAAGAATCTAGCGTGGCAAGTAGTAAGTAATCTAGCATAGCAAAAGTAACTTTTTAAACTGGACTGATTTTAACTTTAGTTGACAACGACATTTTTGTTTCCAAAATATTATACTTGCCATTTATAAACAATCCACCTACCGAATGTGATACCATATATACTTCGATGGTAAGATTAATAGATTTAGCTCAAACTTTAAAACAAAACCATATTTATATAACAGCACACTTGGTCATTTATTCAAAAGCTCGCGAAATATTACGGAATAATCCTAAATTATTACATGTGAAATTAACATTTATGCTAGGCGGAATGCACCTTAATTTGGCGTTTTTTGTCAGTATTGGATATATTTTTTGGAAATGGAGGCCTTTTTGCCATTTTTACGGAAACAGATAATTATGTCGAAAATACTTGTAAAATTATGTAAGACGAAAAATAATATTCCAGGGCTATTCGAGGACTAATTTTAGTTGCCCATGCTCTTTTTAAGTTTTTGTTTAAATCTTTATGTAAGTGGTATAAAGAGCAAAATCAGAAAACACAAATGATAACACCTACATATATTAAAAGAAGAAATTCGTAGTTTAATAAAAGAGTTTCAATCCTATGCAAACTTCAGGATATATCCTTTTATTATGTAATAAAAATAATGTAATCATGTTTTCATAAAAAAATATTACAAAAATATGTCATATTAAATCGACACCTACATATGTGCCACCTACATATTACTTTTAAGAATTTTCTACATTTACTCTAAAACATAAATTAATGCCACATCTAGCACGCCGCGCCGTACAACGTGATGCAGCGGGGCGGTATATGTACAGCGCGGCGACTCTACAGCGCGCGCACGGGATACTGATAACTTTAAACCAGTATAACTCTAAAACTATTAGTAATAGAAGGTTGTAACAAGCTTTAAAAACTTTTTCAATATTCTTTCTTTATTTCATACGCAGATACTATGTAAAAATTCCTTCAAATAAGAAAGTTTCTCGCTTACCGAAAATCATGATACAATAAAGTTAATGTTTGAAGTTTAATCAATTTTCCAAAAAAATACACTCACTATGGAACTTTAATTACATCAGCTATGACCGTCTATGTGTCCTCAATCGATTAAAAAAAAGAGTATGTGAAATAAGTTGATTAGTTTAGGAGTTATCGCGTAGGAAAGGTAAAAAAAACATGGTTATATATTTTTGACAGATTTTCGACATTTTCCGGGATAAAAAATTTCTGACCACCCCCCAAAAGGTCGTAATTAGTAATTTCACATGCACAAAGCCCTAACCGATCATTTCATAACGATTTTATGTGGTTATACCTTCAAATTTTTTTTTGAGAAGGAAGCGACTTTTCTCAGTGATTTTACTCCACTATTTATGTTCTCATTTTTTTAAGAAAGCCTTTCCGTGTATTACTATAGATTTGTGTATTTTTTTGTACTCAGATCAAAAATTCCAACATAAATTGCATTCCACATCAAGTTATACACTTTTCAACTTTCCACCCATGACAGTTTTGTTAAGTCATATAAAGTACGTCTACTGGATCTCTGTCTGTGAAAGGGATTTCAAGAATGCGAACACACTATTGGAGTATTATCAATTTACTACAAAACTCATTTAAATAAACAGCGATCTCTTTCATAGATCGCTACCCGTATGTCCTCGGTTTGTCTTTATAGGAGGAAACACTTTTTTATTATTGACATTTTGAGAAAACTGCATTCCTCATAAAATTTTTGCTTGTTCTAAAATTTTTAATCCTGTTTATACTTTTCCAAATTTCCATACCGTTTTGGAGAAAATTAGGAAAAACATGAAAATATACTTGAATTTTTCCTAAAAATCAAAAGGCGTTTCTATGGTAATATAAATTCACTTTCATTCTTTGATAGATTGTTATTCATACAATTTTAATTAACATAAAATTTATAGGTGTTTTAAAATGATAAAGAAGTACAACATTTATTTAGTTCAATGCTGCGGTAGGGGTGATGAAAATTATCGGAAAATATGATACTTTAACAACAGCAAAGAATATAACGTTAATCAAATTGGATAATAACCATCTATCAAACAATGAAATCTAAACGATATAACCATAGAAATGCCTTTTCGTTTTTAGGACTGAAAAAATTCAACCATATTTTCATGTTTTTCTTAATTTTCTCTAAAACGGTATGGAAATTTGGAAAAGTATAAACGGGATTAACCAGAACAAGCAGATGTTAATAATAAAAAAGTTTGTTTTCCTGTAAAGACAATCCGGGGATATACTGTATATAGAATCGGCGCGGCGTATATAGAGTACTCGTGGCTATTTGCAAACTTGTTGAATTTTTATTGACTGGACACGTCGTCTATTTTTTTACGAGAAACATCGATTAAAACTGTAGCACAACAGCAGACCGAGCTTGGAAAACAATGCAGCCGTTATAGGCAAAATAGTTGCGTGATTTTATTGATTTTTTAACGTTTTTCTTCTCATTTTTTTAATTTTTATATTACGTCTAGATGTAGATTATGTCTAAGGATCAAGACTAGAACTAATTTCAATCTAAAAAAGATTAAGCTGTTCGAAATGTGGCTACAAAACTTAACAAACAAATTAATCATATACTTTTTCATCTACTTTTAAACAAAATCTTCTGGGGATTGATACCATTTTATTGCAAACTCTTGAAGTTGTAATAAATATCAATTTTAGTCTATATTGTGTTAGATCTATTAAGCGTGAATATATATGGGCATACACAAGGACAGAAAAGTTACCTTATTTTTTGATCAGCTTCATTTTTAACCTTATTCGCATATGCCGTTTGTTGGGCAACTTCTTGGTTTAGAACCTGAACACCGCCTTCCAATGTATCGATGTTGCTTTGCAAATCGTCTAGTGCAGATGCTTTACTTTCCAATTCGTTCTTCAATGAATCTATTGTTTTCAACAGTTCCACTTCTCTAGAGCCGTGTGAATTTTGTTGGGTATAGAACTGCTCTTCTAAAGCTTGGCATTTAGCAGCGTATTCTTTTTCTATCAATTGTGCTGCTTCTTCTTTTTGATGAACTAGATTTTGCCATTGAGAATCTGAAGTAGCATATTGGTTATTATTTATTATTATCTATAAACTGCAATTTATAAATGAAGTACCTAATTCAACCCTGTGTTGTTGAATTAACATTTCAATCTTTTGGGAATTTTCCTTTTCCATTTGTTGTTTTACTTCCTCAAGATTAGCGGAAACATCACCTACTTTATTTCTCCAGGATTCTTCTAGTAATCTTATTTGTTTTTCATGTTCATAATTTAATTGTTCTGTAAATATAATACATTTAAGTAAAAACAAAAATAGCTACCGTTTTTCAATCAAATTTAGAGCTAATTTAAAACTCTCTGAACATTCTAAATTCGAAGAATTTTAAAATGTTTCAACAGGAAGTACTGTATAACAGTGTCTACTTTAAAATTGAGTATATCAAAATTTGCAATCTTATTTGATATATACAGAGCGAGTCAAAACTAAATGTTACATTATTCTCTACTATTTTAAATGATAAACGCCATATATTGAAAGATTGAAAGTCAGATCTGGCATTATATTTTCAAAAAAATACAATATTCTGATTAAATATCGATTTTAGATATTTAGGTGCTTAATAAAACAAAAAGATTAAACAAAACCTTGTTCAATTATGATACAAAATACAGGGTGTTCCATTTAAAATAGAGGAGGAAACTACAACAGCTAGTTTTGAGTATATATCAAACATGATTGCAAATTATGGTAGACCGAATTATGGACCGAAGAAGACACTATTACAGTACAGTACTTCCTACGTTACTTTGAATGCGGTAGACAATGATTCACTACTGAAACTAAAATAATTTCGGACTTCCATTGTATTTATTTATTTTACTTACAAAACGTTTCGGTCAGAAGTATCACTAACCGTTATCAAGTGTGAACTGGTTTGATAACGGTCAGTTTGATAACGGTGTTCACACTTGGTAACTGTCAGTGATATTTCTGACTGAAACGTTCTGTAAGTAAAATAAATCAAGACAATGGAAGTCCGAAATTCTTTTAGTTTCAATAGAGGTACTTCCTGTTAGAAGAAATTAAATTCTTTGAATTTGGAATTTTAAGAGGGCTTTAAAAACCACTAATAGGTATAGTATATGACATTATGGTATTTTTGGAAATGAAATTTAGTAGCAAATCCACTGACCTAAAAAAATAGTATTCTGTTTAAAAATATACAACTTTGGTTTGAAAATATGTTTGAATCAATCTGTATCTTGACACAAATATTTTCAAAATGTGCGTTACCATTGACCAGATTATGTAAAAAAATGAAATAAAATTCACAAACCAAAAACCCAATATAGAGCTTTTTCGGAAGCTTGAATTACCCTGCATACAGCCACAAATTTCATCAAAAAAAATTGATTTAGTTGGTCATTATACTGGAGGACTAAACTTAACTTTAAACTAAACAATAAATTCGCCACATAGATAGGTATGTAATACCTTAAGTAATACCCGAATTGTTATCTAATACACACCTATTTCCATCTCATGTTGATCAACAAGTTTGTCATAGTTATCGTGATGGGTCATGTCAATTTTGTCCATTAACCTACGTAACTCCATTATATCTCTATCCGTCTTCGATCTAACACTGATAAGTTCATCGTGATAGTACTCATCTTTTTCATCGAGTGCCTTTTTCAAATATTGAATCTGTAATTTGCAAAAGTAACAATTATTATCTGTGATTGGTTCTTTGTAAAACATTGTTGAAATATTGTTACTTTAATAAAACAGTCTTTTAAATATTTCAAGTTTAATGAAAGTAATTTTATCTCTACATAATATGCTTCGGCTTATTAGGCTTTTTTCAAGAGTTTATTAAAACCTTCAAGATAGTAAAACTAAAAAGAACAAGATTCTTAAAATTTTTAAGCGTACAGCAAAGCAAAACCTGTGCAAAATGCAAAGACTGGCAACCTGAAAAAGCCATGAGAACCTGAAAAACAGCAATAATGGAGTTCTTCTTTATAGACTTAACACGTCTTCACATTTTCATCGCCAATGCGACAATGATTATAATGGTCAATGATGGAAACAGTACTGAGATAAGTACTTGGAATACCACCAAAACAAAAATTTCACTCTTCCAACTCCAAGAGGATGATAAACCAATTTACAACTTTGACAATCACCTTACCGTAGTATTGAGCAATAAAGCGAAGTTGAAGAGAGAAACTTTTTCTCAGCATCAGGTAAAAAAGCCAGACTGATTCTTCCAAAACCAAAGCAGGAACAGGAATAGGTATTTGGGCGGTAAACTAAATATTCCAAACCAGGTAAACTAAATATTCCCAGCTGGGGTTACCAACCCCAGCATCCTTCAGGCAGAAATTTACACTATTGAAAGATACATACAACTTATCTCAGATAGATCTCAAAACAAGAAATAGGCGTCTTATCCGATAATCAACATAACAAGCCGAAACATATGTGGAGCATATATCTTCTCATAAATTGGAGCTAACAAATACCATAGATAAATGAAACAAGTTTAGATTGGAAAGTGCCCAAAAGGATAATGTAAATATATATTTGGCGCTATTCTTGCAACGGTCGCGACCCAAAGCTTTTGATAATTTCGGAGCGGTTCGGCTTTTTCCGGAATTATGTCGCCAAATATATTATTTGTTCAAACTTATTATTTTCTTTTAATGTTATAAATAAAACACAGTGTGTTGCATATAAGAAACTTTATTTTATATAAGGACATGTATGAGATACCTATGGAACATTGGAAACCGACGTTATGCCACAATGGTTTTTGCAGTTCACACAGCTCAAGTTTTTTTAATGCCACTTTTTTACTATTATCAGGGGTTTGAGTAAACAAAATTTAAATTAAACTTACAAGATAGCAAAATATAACTTTGAAATTAGACGCTTTAAACACTTTTCGGTATTTTTCAATGCGGGGGCGGTTTACATTTTGAAGTGTTTTATAATTTAATTATTATAAGATTCTGACTTTGACAAGAGAACATTTTTTCTGTTCTTGTTTGCGGTTGTTCTTATCAACGTGTATAGCAGCGCTAGATCCCGTACAACGTATGCGACCCAAAACAATTATACGTTTTAGCGGGAAGCCGAGCATTCCAATCTAAATTTATTTCCTTTATCTATGACAAATACTAACCTCTTTTAAACAATCTCTAAGCTTTTGTTCCCATTCATTTTGCCTCTTCTTGTATTCCTCTTCCTTTTCTTTTCGTACTGCCTCCATAGCGTTGTACTTTTCTTCGTCATGTATTTGCTCCAATTCATCTTTTAATCTGCCACATTCGTGTAACAATTTTTCCTCCCAGTACATAGCGATTTCAGTTCGTTTTTGATTTAGCGTTTCTTTTAATTTTCTTTCCTTATCTAAGATCTCTTGCCTATGTATTCTTTGCATATGCTGCAAATTTTCTTTTTCTAATTCTAAAAAATAAATAGTTTAGAACATGCAAACCATCAATGTAAAAAGCCCTAAATTAAATGACTGATAAATTAAATGAAACTATGTCAGAATTTCACGTATTTTTGTCAATTAAATATAATTAAAATACTTAGTTAAGGTTTCTACCTATGAGATTAAGCAGTCTTTTAGTTTCATGTTTTAAGCTAGCTTCAGCCTCTACCATTTGAGCCTGTTGGTCCCTCATTTGTTGAAGCGTTCTTTCTTGTTCAGTTGTTCTACCTCTCAATTGCTGAACTTCTATTTCATACGATTTCAAAATTTCCACCTCAACAAAATATTGTTAAAAATATTAAAGGGCAGATAATTTAAAAACAAAAATTTTGCTTTATTTACCTGTTCTAACATACTTTCAGCTTCAGACATTTTCTTCTGTGCATCTTTGTATGCCTCTTGAAGTTTTTCTTCGATAGTTTTATCTTTATCGTCCAATTTCTTTTTGCAAACTTGTTGAACTTCTCTCAATTTCCATTCAAAGTCGTCAAGTAATTCCTGTTCCTTTAATATGTTTACTGTGCGCAACTTTTCGAAATCTTCTTTCCATTTCCTTTCAATTTCTTCTTTTTGTTTAGATGTTGCATCTAATGTTTCCGCTAGTTTCTTCCTCTCTTCGTCTCTTTGCGTTTGCAACTCGGCGTGTTTAACTTGTAATTGATCTTTTTCTGTCTGCAGTTCATGAATTTGATTTTCTAAAGTTTCTATTCTTATTCTCAGGTTTTTAATTACTCCTTCTAATTCGTTTATCTTTGACTGTGTCTCTAATTCATAATTGCTATACGCATCTGTAACATTATTGGCATGATCATTTTAATACACTCATCGGCACGAAAAACGGTCACCTTAAAAGTTTGATGTACTTTAAAGTTTAATATATATTTTATTCTAGTGGGCAGTTATATTTTGATTACTTTTAAGCAGTTTGTAGCTAAATTATTTGACTTTTTAGTTTTTCTTTCTAAATTAAAAATTAAAGTTGTCATCTGTCAATTATACGAGGAGCAACAAAATATTGATATTTTGGTGAAAGTTTGCAATACCCTGTAGAGTACGTTAACAAAGCAACAGTTTGTTTTTTTATTCATTTCAATAACTTCATTTTATTTGGAGATATTCGCTTTTGAAGAAAACACTAATATTTTTTACATTAAAACAATGCCCTTGCTTTTGGTCCTAGTCAACAAATCTGTAAAATAGTGTTAATAGTGTTTATGGTTTATGTAATGTCACTGTCTTTGAAAAATCGTATTATATTATTGTCTGTTAGGCAGTTACCATGGTACAAAGAATACAAGGTATGATATTGCGCAGGTTGGTTGCTACGTCACAAGTGATAACAGGCGCTATTGGTCAGCACGCCTCGCGCGCCAGTTCAAATCGTCAAGATATTGTTATAAACCTGTTTTTTTGTTTATATACCGTCATTGAATTATCGCTAAGCAAGTTACTGTGGAGCAGTGCGTAAGGAGTTGGGCTAGGAAGCGAGAGACCGGAGTTCGAATCTCGGCCGGGACATAACTTTTTATTTATTTTTTTAAATACTGTTGTATTCTATAGTTTATTTTTGTAGTATAAAAAAAGAACTATTTATTCTGTTATTTTTTCATCTCCGGTATTAATATAAATTGACTGTTGGTACAATACCTCATTTAATATAAAATAATATTCTACTTTTTGAAATGTATCAGGCCCTAATTGTACCTAAAAGTAATATATTTTTAATGATATACCATATTGTAAACTATTTAATATTTCAGTCACTTAAAAAGTTAATTTGCATTGAATAATTGCCTACCATTAAAGGAAATTTGAGCTATATAATCTTTGATGGGCATATTCTGGGTATGCAAATACTTCCTCTAAATTTTGGGTGTCGTTCAACGGATTTATTCTCAAAACCAGAAACATCTACATATAAAAAGAAAAGCACAGGTCACTAATTATAATAAACTTCACCCTTGGAATTACTTCCACTAATTATAATAAACTTCACCCTTGGAATTACTTCTATCACAATTACAATACATTCATCTGCATTGGCATTTTCTACTGTTCGATGGGAAACAATAAACTTTCCAACATTTTTTAAATGATGTAACAATTCCTCTTGTGGTTACTTTTCCATAGATATCCTCATCTCTGTTCTCATGTAAATTCAGAGGCAATGAACATGAAAATTATTTACCATAAACATCGCAAACTAAAAACCTAATAAACAATTTTATACCGAATATAGAAATAAACTAATTATCGTCCAAATCCATGTTAATAGATAATTATTATTTTTAAATATATTTTTGGAACTGCTGGTTTTAGTAATTATTAAATTAAACGAACTAAAAATAAACAATTCTTAACCATAACCCCAAAAAATACAGATCTCCTGTCAACTTTCTTTATTTTTTATTTATTCATTGTTTTCCTAGTGACGTCACAGGTGGTATGCGCAAACTGAACGAAATTGGAGCCGCTATCGATCATACCTTGTATTCTTTGTACCATGGGCAGTTACTCTAGCAGATATGGTTTTAAGTCCAAAAGTTGATCTCTGCTATGATCAATTAAAGCAGCAATAACCGATACTTCAGAACTTGAAACTATCTCTACTAGAGTAAACGTCAATAAACAATAATAATATTACTTTTCAATGACAGTGACATTACAAAAACAATAAACACTATTTTATAAGTGTGGTGATAAGGATCCAAAATCAATGCTAAAATTGCTGTAAATGGTTACTCTCTTATTCAAAAGCGAATATCTCCAATAAAAATAAAGCTCTTGCGATGAATAAAATTCTTGCTTTATTAATATTGTTACGGATTCCGTGGGTCCACTATTTAAACTCACGATAAAATACTTAACGAATTTATTTGTTTCACTCTGTACACACAACTTATACTATTTACAACACAACTTATGCAACTACTATTACTCTAACGGTATTTCGCGGTATTATCAAACTTCAGACTTCAGACTATCTTCAGACTGGTCCAACTGTCAAAGCGCGGGCCTTATATACCCCCTGGCGATGGTTTCTGGAATTTTCTAAAGAATTCTGTAATTTTCTTTTACTTTCTGTCGAATTCGACAGGTTCCTCAATGCACATTGCGGTTATGTAGCAGTAATGCAGTTATGCAACCAGTAATACACCTTGACCTTAACATTGCCCCCTTCTCAAATTTGATCGTCCCGATCAAGGTTTCCTGTCTGGTATCTCTTCAATCGATCCAGATGAACTACTTTCATCTTACTTCTAGGGCTGCATTGAATCCGGTACAAAACATCATTTATCCTCTTGATGACTGTATAAAGACCTTCCCTTGCTGGAGTTAACTTAGGGGACCTTCCTTTCTTGCGCTGTGGGTTATACAACCATACCCTATCGTCCTGTTGAAATCCCGTAGAATTAGCTCTGAGGTCGTAAAGAGCTTTCATCCGGTCACTGGCTAGCGCAATCTTACTTCTAACGGTCTGATGAATTTCCAATAACCTTTCCTTCAGTTCATCCGCGTAGTCCTCTACGTTTGTGGTGCCGTCGTCTGGTGATCCGAACACCAAGTCACAAGACAACCGTAATTCTCGACCAAACAAAATCTTCGATGGTGAAAGTCCGGTGGTGTGAACTGCACTTCTATAAGCCATTAGGAATAGCGGTATGTGCTGATCCCAATCTCTTTGATGTTCGTCCACCATTTTCGGGAGGTGTTCAATGGTCTTATTGAATCTTTCGACCATCCCATCAGACTGCGGATGTAAAGCTGTTGTCCTAGTCTTGTGAATACCAAGCAGATCACACATCTTCTGGAACAGTCTTGACTTGAAGTTCCTTCCTTGGTCAGTGTGAAGCTCTAAGGGAATTCCAAATCTACTGAAGACATTATTGACTAAACTTCAGCTACAGTCGATGCTTCTTGGTTTGGAATGGCAAAAACTTCTGGCCATTTACTGAAATAATCCATCGCCACTAAAACGTACTTGTTGCCCTTGTGCGTTTCAGGGAATGGGCCTGCAATGTCAACAGCGATTCTTTCGAATGGCAGTCCAACGTTATATTGTTTATTTTCCCCTAGATCGAGTGCTTGGTCTTTGGCTGGCTGCACAAATTTTACATTGTCGACACCATTTCTTGACATCTTCGCAATAATCCACCCAGTAAAAACGATCTCTCAGCTTGCTCAAGGTCTTGTTTACCCCAAGATGGGCTCCAGTTTTACCACCGTGAATTTCTTCCAATACCTGGGTAACTTTCTTCCTTGGTACCAGTAACTGAGTTGTTACTGTCCTGCCATCCGCACTTTCCCACATGCGCTTTAACAATCCATTCTCAATAACCAGTGAATTCCACTGAGCCCAGAGAGCTTTGAAAACTAGCCCTCTGTCCGCAATATCCTGCCACGGTGGTCTCTCGCCGTTACCTTCCTTGAGCCCTAGTATTGCTCCGATGTCTGGATCTTCCATTTGGTCTTTCCTCAACTGTGCCGTCGTCCACTGTTCATCAGCTCCAAGCTTAAAACTCCTTATCATGACAGTGCCTTCACGTTGTTCCGTTTTACAGCAGTGCTTACAATCGGTTTGACAGGGTCTTCTGGATAAACCGTCTGCGTTACCATGCATCTTCCCAGCACGATGTTGGATGGTAAAGTGATACTGCTGGAGCTTCTCGAGCCATCGTGCTATTTGGCCTTCAGGTTGTTTCATCTCCATAAGCCATTTGAGAGCCGCATGATCTGTCCTAATTAAAAATTCTTGGCCATACAGGTATTTATGAAAATGATCAACTGCCTTCACAATTGCTAGCAGCTCCTTCCGGGTAACGCAGTAATTCCTTTCCGGTTTGGATAGAACTCGACTGTAATATTCTACCACTCGTTCTTCGCCATCTTGGACTTGTGATAGCACTGCTCCTATGCCGATGTTGCTGGCGTCTGTGTCCAGGATATACCTCCCTTGTTGTTGTGGGTAGGCTAAAATGGGACTTGAACATAAAGCCGCCTTAAGTCTTCCAAAGGCTACATCACAATCGGTGTTCCATTCGTAGCCGACTTCATCACCTGTAAGCCTATGTAAGGGTGCAGCTATATTGGCAAATCCCTTGACAAATCTTCTGTAATAAGTGCATAAACCCAGGAAACTTCTAAGTTCATGTTTGTCGCGAGGTTTAGGCCAATCCTTGATTGCAGCGATTTTCTTCTGATCGGTGTAAATTCCGTCTGCCGAAACTACATGACCCAAGAATTCCACTCGTCGCTGGAATAAGCTACACTTCTTCGGGTTCAAAATTGCAGGTGCGCATTCCTTATGCGGCCGAAGACTTCTTCGAAATTTCGCAAATGCTCCTCAAAAGTTCTTCCCATAACCAATACATCGTCGAGAGGTAAACCAAGCACGTTTTCCAGTTAATCCTCTTAACACCACCTCCATGAGACGTTCGAAAGTGGCTGGAGCATTTACTGCATAATCCAAAACGGCATGACCTTGAATTGATATAGTCCGTTTCCTGTAGAAAAAGCCGTCTTTTCTTTGTCTTCCTCGTCTAGATCAACTTTGCCAGTATCCACTCTTTAAGTCGAAGAGTGGAGAACCAGCACGAACCTGCCAGAGTTGTTAATGTGTCATCTATACGTGGCGGTGGGTAGCTATCTTTCTTAGTGACGTCATTGAGCTTCCTATAATCCACGCAGAATCGTGTACTACCATCTTTCTTCGTCACCAAAACAACAGGAGATGACCATGGACTTGATGATTCTTCGATTACTCCATCTTCTAACATCTTATCTACCATTGTCTCCATTTGTTGTTTGGCATTCCCTTCTAGGACGTTGTCGAGATCAAACTGAGCATGACCAGTATTAATCCGGTGCTTCACAAAATCCGTTCTTCCACTGTTATTTTTCTCAAAAATACCGCCATGCTTTCGCAGGAACTGCTTAGCCTTCTGTTTCTCCTCATATGTTAGGTGATCCCATGGCTGTTCTAGATGTTTTAGTGTTTCTTTGGATGCCATTTGTGTAACAGCTGACGACACTTCATCACATCGGGTGACACTTCTTACAGGTTCGCAGATGGCTATCTTGTCACCTTTTTGAATCTTGACACAATTCGGGAAAACATTCGCAATTCTGATCGGTATATTCTTGTCGGTGTTCACCAATGACTTTCCTACTAAGTACCTATCTTGTTTCTTGTCGCCACTTTTTACCAGTCCAACACAGCACCCAGCGATTTTCTCCACTTTACCGAATACGATCTTCTCGGTATTACCAGGTATCACCACAGTTTCCGCTGATCTTACATCCATTCTGCCTGGTCCCTCGTCTGGAGATAACATGAACTCTTCATATCCAATATTTAAGATATTTCTCTGGTGATCGAACGAAAATCCATGTTGACGAATCACATCCATGCCCAAGATGAAGTCATCTTCAATATCTGCCACTAAAACGCTATGCTGGAACTTCAAATTTCCTAACTTCAGTTCGACGATAGCCTCTCCGTACAACGGCCATTTCCCCCGTAACTGTACGTAAACACACTCTTCTTCTCAGAGGCACCAGCTTCAATCCTTGCACTGAGTTAGCCCGCACCAACGAAACCATAGCGCCAGTGTCCACTGTCATTCGGATTCCCTTTCCATTGACTTTCCCGTCGATCACCAAACTGTCAGCGGTTCTTCCTAGATTTCTAATGGAAAAAATCCTTGGGGCTCTGTTCTCCCCAGTCAATACTCGCCCCTTAGTATTGACTGATTTTAGTTTTCCTGGTGCCTACGTTCTCTGGATGGTGAACGGGATCGCATTTGAACGCGGCAATACCGTTTAATGTGGCCATTCCTGCCACCTCTAAAGCACCTTATGTCCTGGAATCTTCTCTGGTTTTCTGTCTGGGTGTTGCTGACTCCCTTGTTTATTAGTAGCTCACATAGTTTGTCGACTTTCTTACACATCTCCTCCAAACCTCTGTGAGTGTTTTCGGGCTGTTCCTCGACCGTTACCGATCTTATCTTCGGTCTAGGGATGGCGCTAAAAGCAGCTTCGATTTCCAGCGCCCTGACGAGTGCTTCGCTGCTGGTAGAAAATCGGGATATTTGCAGCGCCCTCTGTAATTCGTTGTCCCTCAGTCCGCTGATAAAGCACTGAGCAGCGAGTTCCTCCATAAATCCTTCCGGTGCTTCAGGATACGCTAGGTGTACCAGCCGACGTAAGTCTGCTTCGAATTCCTGCAGACTCTCTCCGGACCTCTGCAGGCGTGTCTTGATCTGGGCCTGGTAAAGTTGGCGTCGATGTTGGTCGCCATATCTTCTGTCCAGTGCAGCGACCAAAGTTTGATATTCCTGCTGTTGGGCTGCAGGAATAGTTTGCAGGAGTTCCAGGGCAGAGCCACGCAGCGCGATGACAAGTGCCGCTGCTTTCTCCTGGTCAGTCCATCCATTGGCAGCAGCCGCTGCTTCAAACTGGCGGTGGTACATTGTCCAGGTCGTTTGTCCATCGTAGGTCGGTGCCTTGAGGTTCGCAGTTCCAGAAACGCCAGGTGTCCTTACTTGTACCTTGGTCTTCTGTAGGTCCATCTATAATTTTTCCATTTTCTGCTGCAGGCGCTCCTCCAGATCTTCTACGACTTCTTGGAAGTGGGTCTCTTGTCTTCGTCTTGTCTTCCGAATTTTCGATACTCTGTTGAATACGGTCCTGCTCTTCTTGTTTGTCTTGTTGTCGCTGAATTTTTAAATCTTCTAAGATTTTCTCAAGCCGGTCCTGTTCTTCTTGTTTGTCTTTTTGTTGTTGAATTTTCAAATCTTCGAAAATTTTCTCAAGCCGGTCCTGTTCTTCTGTTTTCTCTACGATGTCGCTCCTCGAAACGAATTTCCAAATTACCCAACATTTTCTCTTGATTTTCCATAAATTTTCTGTAGATGGTCTTGTTCCTCTTCTTTCTCTTTTCGCAACCTCTCTTGTTCTTCTGCCTTTTCTCTTCTCATATTCTCCATAAAATCGCCCAATAATTTGCTTACTTCCTCCATTTTCTTCGCCTGCTCCCTTGTACCAACCATAAAAATACTCTAATTCGGTCTAAAAATCTTCTAATCCACTTAATTTCTTCTTAAAATCTTCTTGAATCGCACTTCCGACACCAATTGTTACGGATTCCGTGGGTCCACTATTTAAACTCACGATAAAATACTTAACGAATTTATTTGTTTCACTCTGTACACACAACTTATACTATTTACAACACATCTTATGCAACTACTATTACTCTAACGGTATTTCGCGGTATTATCAAACTTCAGACTTCAGACTATCTTCAGACTTGACTTCAAACTTTAAACTTGTCCAACTGTCAGAGCGCGAGCCTTATATACCCCCTGGCGGTTGTTTCTAGATTTTTCTAAAGAATTCTATAATTTTCTTTACTTTCTGGCGAATGCGCCAGGTTCCTCAATGCACCGTTGCGGTTATGCAACCAGTAATACACCTTGACCTTAACAATATATTCCACAGCGTGTTGCAAACTTTCACCAAAATATAGACATTTTGTTTTCTCTCGAATAATGACAGATAGAAACTTTCATTTTTAATTTAGAAAGAGATACTAAAAAGGCAAATAATTTAGCTACAAATTGCTTAAAAAAGCATCCAAATCGGCCCACTTAGCTACAAAATATATTAAATTAAAATACATCAAAATTTTAAAGTGCCCGTTTTTCGTGCCGGTGAGTGTAGTTTTAAACAAAGATTTGTTTTTGTTTTTGAGGAACAATTTTTCAATATTTTAACCTAATCTAATATACATATTTTTTACCTTTTTGTTGTTGTATTTCCTCCGCAAGATCAGCGTTTCTTCTTCTATAATTTTCTAATTCAGTTTCTAAATGATGTATTTTTTGGCGAATTAAATCTGCTTCTTTTGTTGCCGCATTAAGTTCAGCCTGCAATCCTAAAATATTTTTTTGAACAATTTATATGTATTTGATAATTATAGTATGAACATACATAGCATTATTAATGCTATAAAGTAATAAAATAAAATACATTGTCAATAATTTTAACAAAAAATACAAATTAAACTATACAAACACACTTTAACTTATTCCAAAATATACAGGGTGAGTTTCGTACGATGTTCTCTATGGGTGTCTCGGAAACGACTAGAGATAGAGAGTCGGTTAAATGGGGAAAGAATTGCAGTTTTCTGGGGTCATAAATATGCGCCTTTCAGATTTTTGAAAAAAATCATGGCTTACTAGATATTTTGAAAAAAAACAAATTTCGGCTATTTTAAGAATTGTCCCTAATTCCATTATAAGCTATTTTAGACAAAAAGTTTTCAGATAAAAGTTGTAGATAATCACATTCTTAATGAAATTCCTCCGCTTTTTTCTAAAGCCTGTCATTTTTGACATATGACACAAACATAGGTTTTTTTAAATGGAAACCATAGTTGGCCATGGCTTCATAAAAAGCGCCATTTTTTAAGCTTTTCAGCGATATAAGCTATAATATGTTTTCTTGGAAAAATTACCGAGTTATAGCCAATTCTTATCATTTTTAAACAATTTCACTTAGTTAGCCATGGAAACAAGTTCAATCGCCGTTGCTCTCAGAAATGTGAAGCTGTCACATCCAAACTTTGCAAATTAAAATAAATAAAAATTGTAAATATGAATTTTTCAAATAAAGAAAAGCGTGTTGGATTATTGGTTCAACTTTTCTTGACCATACATTTTCGAGGATACGTTGACCGGTGAATGTTACGTTTTTTAGAGAACGGTTTTCAAGATATGTTAGAAAAGTTAAATTTAGTTATAGTCAATTTTTATCTTTCTTGATTAATTTCACTTAATATTCTTATTTTGTTCACATGATATTCTTATTTTGTTCACATGGTATTCTTATTTTGTTATGATTTATAATTTATAAAAAGTCAGAAAATATTACTAAACGGTTCTTTAACTTTTTTTTTCAATTTACATTACACCAACTAAAACTTAAAAATATTTTATCACTACATACACTTTAAGTTATGAAGTTATGAAGAAAATGTTCAAAAAATCCGCAATTGTTTTGAGTTGCATGTTTTTAAAACTGAATTACTACCTATTCTCACAGAAGGACCGGTCGACTTAATTAAACTTTTCTCGTACCGCCACTTCGAGTGCCTCTCTTAATTCATAAGTTCTTTTGTAAACCTTATTATTAACTATACCGCATAAAAAAATTCTAAAATGAATAGGTCAGGTGATCGAGAAAGCCCATGCAATTAGTCCACCTCTTCCTATCCCTGCGTTTGTATTATTATGATATAAATAATTTTTAACATTTCTTTCATTATGGGGGGTGGAGGGTGGTGTGTCATAATAAAAGTCATGTTGGAACCACTCTATTGATGCGCGAGTATCTACACGCTTTTCTTCATTTTAAAAATTTATATTTACAATTTTTGTTTATTTTAGTTTACAAAGTTTGGATTTGACAGCTTCACATTTCTGAGAGCAACGGCGATTGAACTTGTTTCCATGGCTACCTAAGTAAAATTGTTTAAAATGATAAGAATTGGCTATAACTCAGTAATTTTTCGAAGAAAAGATATTTTATATATCACTAAAAAGCTTAAAAAATGGCGCTTTGGTTTCCATTTAAAAAAAAACCTATGTTTGTGTCATTTGTCAAAAATTACAGGCTTTAGAAAAAAAACGGAGGACACAACTTTTATCTGAAAACTTTTTGTCTAAAATAGCTTATATGGAATTAGGGACAATTTTTAAAATAACCGAAATTTGTTTTTTTCGAAATATCTAGTAAGCCATTCATAAACTTTTTCAAAAATCTGAAAGGCGCATATTTATGACCCCACAAAACTGCAATTCTTTCCCCATTTAACCCACTCTCTATCTCCAGTAGTTTCCGAGATACCCATAGAGAACATCGTACGAAACTCACCCTGTATATAGGTAATTTTTATATATAGCTGAGTTAATTTTGCACATTTTTTTGTTTTTAAAATAAAATCTTAAAATATACATACTGTCCATTCCAGCTGATTTAGCAAAAACATCCCTCTGGAGTTCTTCCATTTGGAAACGCAACTTGGTAGCTTCAGCATCGCGTATTGATAATTGTTTCGAAAGATCATTCAACTGGCTCTGGAACTTAGCTTCTTGGTTTATAAGATTCTTCCTATATGACAAAAAGAAAATAATATTTAGATTAACAATTTTTTAGTGCTTTTGCGATTAAATGCAAATGCATGCATCTATTTGTGGAGCATGACAGAGAAAGTTATCAGCGTACACAAATATCATATCTATAATATTGTAATACTAAAGTTATCACATCCATCTGTTATTGCTAATGTGTATTGTAAATCAGTGGTTGTATTCCAATTAGTTATTTAATTATTGTCTTCTGTCTTGAAAATTTTAAAACGTTTCAAAAGCAATCTTGGTTTGTGCACACGTGTATGAAGATAGCATACAAATATATTGCTAAAGAATCACTATTGATTACTCAAGAGATAAGAGCAGATTTTCAAAGAAGAGTGGCAACTAATCAACTAAGATCTGTTTTGTGGAATAACCAAACAGAAGTTGGGGTTAAAACAGAACAACTGAAAGAGAGAGAATTGCTTGCAATGGAAATATAGTTATATTATATTCCTGATTTAAAGGAATTGGGCAATGTAAAAGACTAAGAGCCACAAAATTATTCATCAAATATTTTGATTTCTAATTTGTACCCCTATAGTTTCTAATAATACTGTAAGACTAAACATATAACAAATTCGGCGGAGGGGTATGTAGAACCCTAATTAATATCATCTAATCTACGGTTTCAGTATATCCGAATTTTTTCGGACATCTTTGGGTTTTTATGGTGTCTGAGTTATTAGCCGATGAGAATATTCAACAAAGTTAATTTGTTTTTACAAAAATATTTCACGTACATTCTTTCAGTTTCCGGCTAGACGTATGAAAACCCAATCTAATACACACGAATTTCCATTTAAGATTATTCGACAAGTCCGTCATAGTTATCATGATGGATTATGATAATTTTATCCATTAACCTTCGTAACTAATGAGAATGATTGAGAATTTGGTAGACGAGAGAACAAATAAAAGGATATTGCTAGGATAATAATACAATAGGATTTGTAGGAAGTAATAATGGGAGATTTCTCAATTGGTCGAATACAATAGACTGTTAGTTTTTGGTGTTTGTCGATTACAAAAAGGCATTTGATACCATCAACCAACAAAAAATGTTAAAATCCCTAGTTGACTCTCGTATAGATCATCGGTACATCACAATGATTAAACATATACATATATGAGAACGCTACAGCTTGTGTTAGGCTTTACGAAGGTACTAACAACTTCTATATAGAAAAAGGTGTTCACCAAGGCGATACCATCTCTCCAATATTATTTAATAATTTGCTCCAATACATGTGCAAACAGATAATGGAATGGAATGAATTGGGTATATAAATATAAACGGCGAAAACTTGAACCATCTGCGATTTGCTGATGACATTGTCTTGATATCGGATTGCGTAAATAAAGCACAAGAAATGTTACAAAAATTGAATGCAACCTCTGAACAAATGGGACTAAAAATCAATATCTTAAAGACTCAAGTGATGACAAACCTAGTAGGTAATAGGCGGCGGAATATATATTAAACAATATCAAATAGAAGAAAATAGAAGAAAGAATACAAGTACTTGGGACATGAAATACGTATAAGCTGCGATAACCAAACTTGCGAGCTTAACAGACGAATAGGACTGACTTGGGCCGCCTATGGACGATTGAACTATATTTTCAAAGTACCACTTCCGATATATTTGAAGAGAAAAGGATTCAATCAGTGCGTACTACCTGTTCTAACGTATGGTGCGGAGACGCTAACATTAACCAAGAAAACTGTAAGCAAAATCAGAACAACGCAAAAAGCAATGGAAAGAAAATCAATGCTGGGGCTATCTCTGAGAGACAAAGTACCGAATATCGAAGTACGGGGTAGACAGAACAAAAGTCATGGATGCCATATAGAAAATAACCACTTTGAAATGGAATTGGGCAGGGCACATTGCAAGGCTAAACGATGACCGATGGACGAAGAAAATTATAGAATGGAGCCCAGACACGATGCATTCAGGAGCAGAGACTGCCCTCCAACCAGATGGCATGCCGACTTAAAGCGTATCCTTTACTACAGTAATATAATATAGTACCGTATGATCGAATAAAAACGGCGTCAGCGATGGCTATGAAATGAAACATCGCTGTCATTTTATATGTAAAATTATATGGGAAAAATGATCGTCATTTCCAAGCCAACTGGACGCCGTTTTTTGTCGATCATACGGTATTCGTATACATATTGGTACAATAATATAATATAATAATGCTATTCATGAACATGCCTCATGTATTTTTTTACGGCTGTGACATCATGACGTTAAATAATAATAACTTAACTACAAAGAAGGTAGAACATCTGAGTTGGTAACTCGACTTTTCACTCACATTTATAAAAGGCTCCTTAATGAGAGATAAAGAGAAGATACTAACCTAATATTAAAAATATATATGTATCTAACTCGATCCTACAAGAGAAAGACTTAAACTCTAACTTAATTGTCTTAGTATTAGTACCAAACATCCTGCACTTAAAATTAGAGCAGAGACACAAAATCATATCACAAGAATAATAAAATTACAACTATGTTGTACTATTCAACTAAAATATATTATTAAAACTCTGTATTTTAAATAAATCCTAAACTCTGCGTTTCTGCTATAAATAAGTTCTACTTATGGAATACAATAAACACTTGTATGGAAGCTACCATTTAAAATATAAATTATAGTCTAAAAATAGTCCTAATTTTATTGTCAAAATTTCAATGCCAATTCTTTGTAAAAAAATAGAGGTGAATAAACTAACTGTAAAAATAAACTTCTATATTCGACAAAATTTTTCGTTATTTTAAATATCTACTGATACTTGTATATTAAAAGACAAAAGGAGCTGATTTTAGATAAGCACCATTTTCAATTATTATTATTTATTAGTGTTAGGAAAGTCATTCGGAGGAGAATCATAAAGAGGAAGAAAATTACAAGTCGATATTATGGTTGTGTGGATTATACCTATAGATCAGCCAAGTTTAGCTATGTTTTTAATATTTACCTTAATTAAAATAGTTTAATTAAAGTAATTAAAATGAAAAGCCTTTTAGCAAACTACTCAGATATATGTAATATTACCCTGCAACATTATTTAATATTTTTTATAGAAAAAAAAATATTTTAGCACCAGACTATACTTTATTACATACCTGAGTGACAGATGAACTTGAGCTAAAATTAAGTCAAGCGAAAAAAATATATTCCTGATTTTTTTAGTGCCAGAGTAATTACATACAACTTAACAAAGTAGATTAATTGCTCGTTAAACGATATTTTATTATACTTACATAAAGGAGAAGGAATATTTTAGCTATATTTTAATGTAATAATATCCAATAAAAGCAAATGTTTCTAAAACAAATTATTTTAACAATTTTTTTTTATTTAAAAAAGTCTAGTGTAGAGGTATTTGAACTATGTTTAACAGAATCCGACCGGATACAGGTGATCTGACCGGGATCACCTTTCGGTATTACTTCGGGAGAGACGGTTCCAGTACGTGATAAGTGTGTAGTATGACGATGTTCTTGGTGAGTATTTGAAAAAAGGGCACTCCTAGACTGTTATTCAGAGGCCCGTAGCATCGGTCAGAAGTAAAAAAATCAACGTTTTAAACTCCCATAGTAAGTATTAATATGATTTTGTTAGATCCATAACTATCTTGCTTCTTTTTCTTTTATAGATATGACTGCCTCCGTGTAGCTTTGTACAGTCTCCCAGTTTTCCATCAATTGCAACATAGTTGGAACTAGGTTGGTAAGTGATATGTATTTTTGATTTAATTTCTTCAAAAGTTCCTTCCTCTCTGACTCCCATCTCCGACATTCGAACATGGTGTGTTCTGCCGTATCGTTGTTAGAATCACTGTATATGCATTTCGGACTATCAATGATATGCGTTCGAAATAAATAATGCCTAAAGTAACCATGGCTAGAAAAACATTGGTCATGGCATAACCCACCTCTCCGTGACTTCTATTCACCCAACTCTCCAAATCCAGTATGAGCTTCCTGGTCCAGCGAGCGTTTCCATTGGTATTTTGCCTCCATCTTTCGCTCCATAGATCTAATGTTATTTCCCTATTTTCATTCTTATTTCTTTCGGGGTGTTTTTTACTCTCTATCCGTTCTGCAACAAGTAAATCTATGGGTATCATGGAGCTAATAACCTGCACAGCGTCTGAATATATTGTGCAGTACCCACGGCACACTCTTAGAGCCAGTCGTCTTTGAACCACCATTAACTTTTCTCTGCATTTCCTTATGCTGATGTTTTTTCCACCAACATTCTGCGGCATAGAGAATAGTTGATGTCTGGACCGCGGTTAGCATCTGTCGTTTTGTTTGGCCTAGGGCCGACCAATTTGGCATTAGTTTTGACAGCAATGTACTCTGCCTTTCCGCCTTTGTTGTTATTGAACGAATATGTTCGACAAAGCTATCATTAGATCCAAAACCTGACTCCAACTTTAAGGACTTGTTTGGTTTGATGAACTTGCCCTTTAGCGGAAATTCTAGATCGATCGGTTGCCTTAATACGAGCACCAGCCAGCATTACACACTCCGATTTATGTGGGGCAATTTCTAATCCGACTTCTTCCATCCAGGAGCATACCATGTCGACAGCATGCTCCGCTATAGATGCAAGTTCCTTAAGGGTTTTAGCTCTAACAATCAAGGCAATATCATCAGCATATGCTAAAATATCAACCCCAAGAGGGAACTGCAACCTGAGAAGCCCATCGTAAAGTATATTCCACAGAAGTGGACCCAGAGTTACTAAAATATTATGTTGGTATTGTATTTTGAAAATTATATATAAAAAATAATGGTTTATTAAACTTATCATAAAAAGTAGTTATATGTCATGTAATGAATAAAACATTGTTAGATTTGTAAAAGAAAAAATCTTTACGCGAAATAAATACATGGTATATGCAAAATATCGAAGTGTTTTAATCAACCAATTTTTAATTTA